AACCACTTGAAACCTAGTTTCAGACATCGTAGTTTCGAAACACAGGTTTCACGTTACAAGAACCAAAAAAAAAATGCTCGAGTGAGGCTTTGTTGACATGAAACCCTAAAACTGCAGATATACGATGATGACGTGGAAATAGTAAATCTGTAAACAAACATCACGAGGGGAGGGGGGAAAAGCTGTTTGTAAAAAGCACGACAAAGATGGAAGAAGGAAGTGTGACGGGCCAACTCAACATAAGTCAGAACTTTTTTTTTTTAACAATAGGAGTGATTAAGGTAACACCATAATTATAATTTACCCAATAAATATCACTATAATTATATTTAAACGTCTTCTTTTAGGAGACCGAAGCTAAAAAGGGCATTTGTGAATCACGAGAGCCTCACGTGCGGCTCCACTCTCCATGCTCGCCATGACCAATGACAAACCCTAGCTGTAATTGATTATTTAATGGTATACTTGCAAAACAAAATCGTGTAATTGTGCTGTAAATTAATGCTACTCTAATGATTTTTTTTATTAACAGTTAATGTAAACAAGGCAAGGGGAAAACATAATTTAAAATCTTAATTTGCTTTTTTTTGCAAAGTGTAACATGTCGCGTTTGGGCGCTTGAATTAAATATTTCTTTTCTATAACTAATCTAAAACGAGAAACTGAATAAATTAAGCCTCGGTACCAAAGATTATGATTGGAGATTCATGTTCCTTTAGGATTATGCCACCTAATTAACGTCCAAACCTCCCCTAATCTCCTACCAATCTCGGCATAATGCAATTTCATACTCTCTCACAAATCATATAAAATTAAATGACGTTAGATATCTACATTAATAATTCCAAATCATGAACATATATATATGTAAATAAATCTTAAAATGTATTTTAACCCCAAAACAAAACAAAATTCCAAAATAGCATCGTCCCGAATTCTTCTAGATTATATATGATCACTTAACCATGTTATTGTGCCGATCCAGCCATAGTTATTACAAATCTTACGTAAATATTTTTTCGGGCTGTTTCATTTTGTCATATCGTGCTTATTTTCTCATTACATATATATATATTGGTTTTATTTCCAATTAGAGCCAAACAAGAGACTAAGTAATACATGGATATTAGAGAATAATCGAAGGCCACGCAATCAGCATAAGAAAGTAGGATATCGTTTGTCGAAATAATGGCCGACCCATTTCGCTGTCTGGATTCATTCCGAGACCCATCGGCTGGCTTTGGTTGACGCTGCAATGCGTGTCGGAGAGTGATTTTGTTTCTTGGTGGATTTCCGATTCGATCTTCCATCTTCTTCCTCTTGATTGCTTCTTGATACCGGTTGATACATACATATATATGTATACATATATAATTTGTAATGTACTTGGCTACTTGCAATATTAAATGAACTATTGAACTGAAATGTACTGTACTTGACATCTCATGTACATAAATATAGCTACCAATTGCGGTTACTTTTTTATATTTGCGAATAAAACATTTTTATTATTCCGTTGAGAAATATATAAGATGGAATTAATTTTCTAAATAGAAATGTGTGAGAATATACAGAACTCGACAGCTCCGTTTTTGTTTATCCAAAATCGAATAACATGGATTCAACACATCCTCAATACTAAAAACAACACTGTATAGACATCAAAAATAGCGACAAATATTAGCATTGTAACAAAAAAAAAAACGACAAAACTTCGTAACACAAAAAAAAATTAAATAATAGCGGCGAAACGTTTTCATTACTATATCATCGTTATTACAAATTGGAGGATGAAATATGATAATTTTATAACATTCTGTTGTCTTTGACTTTTTTTTTTTTGGCCGTGTAAAAAATTTGTTGCAATGCTTCTATAACCCATCATGTTCATTTGAAAATCTTTTTTTTTTTTTTTGTTCTAATGCATTTGAAAACTTTTATCCTTTCTACAACCATCTGATTGCATTGAGACCAGATAGTGTAAATCGAACTAGGGTTACAAATCTTACGACGGCCCATTTACTAAACCAAAGCGAAAACGAAATTGAAGTCGGCACTGTTTGGTAAAACCACTCGAGGGTTTGATAGAATGGATGAAGAGCCGTACATATCTGACACAAAGAGAGTTGGTAATGGAGTAGATCCGCAAGCAAAAGCAACATAGAACCCACGACTCTTTTATTTCACGTTTCACAAACTTTGACGAGCATGTGATTGAAAATTATATCTACTAGGCAAACCGCCCTTAGGGCAAAGATTCCTCTCTCTCTCTCTCTCTCTCTCTCTCTCTCTCTCTCTCTCTCTCTCTCTACATACATACATACATACATACATACATACATACATACATACATATATGTCCATGTGGGGTCCACACAATAGGGTATAGGGGGTCACAGTGTCCCCTGGGTTAGGGAACAGTGCCCTCTCTCCCTCGGACCCACCCGTCGGACCTTTCCTAGACCGGTCCGGTATGATCCTTCCCCTATATATAATTCCTCCTATTCATCCAAAGCCATTTACTATACCCCTCTCTCTCTCTCTCTCTCTCTCGTTTTTTCTTCAATTCCGAAATTATCGGAAATAATGAAGGTGAACGGTTCGGGCGTTGGTGGGTCGAAGAGGAAATTATGGAGCCGTGGAGTGGGAGGAGTCATAAGAGAGCAAAGGTCGAAGCTTTATATCATAAGAAGGTGCGTGGTGATGCTTCTTTGTTGGCATGACTAAATCTTCATCATCATCATCATCATCATGTCATCACAATCTCTTGGAGCTTTTGTGATCGACGATCCAGAAATATGCGATATGCCATATGCCGGGGTTTTTTCTTCCTTGACGCAAGCATAATCAAGACTAACCATTATATAAGTTTTTTTAAAAATTTTATTTTGCCTAACTATGTACAAGAGAAGATGGCGTCGGTATATCGGTTCTACGTAGCAACAATGTATAAGTTTTGTAGTTTTTATTTTTACTTTTACCTCGAGGAAGGTTTTTGGTTAGATGTAAATTAGTAATTGATTCACTATTTTCCATCCATAATTTGTCTAATATTAAAGGTTGATCGTGATTTTTTTAAATCCCTACGGGAATCTGTATTTCTTTGCTCGGATACTGAGTACGGATAGACTTGTGGTAACAAGCGGATAGCAAAGTAAAATTTATTTACCCTTTTACCGAAGAAACTAAACAAGTGTGGGATGATGAGCCCATAGGCTTTTTTGAAGTTGTGCAAATCACGTTGTTTCAACAAAGTCAAATAAAAATGTCTCCCGTTTCGAGTTTAAAAACAACAATCACCCAAATATTCAATGATTATAAAAATCTTCAGAAAGAGCTCCTCACTTGTAGTGGTCAAAAGACTCAAAACGCCGTCAGTGGGTCCGTCAACAATCATAATGGTGATCGTGTCCTAGGGCGACACGTGTACGGTGGATGTCGACTGTATCTTAATAATGAAAGCATCTTGTGGTGCCACGTGTCACACGGGTTCTCAGTTGATTTGAGACGTCCCCTCATATAACTTTCACATTATAAAATTAATGATAATTTTTAAAAATTGATTAAACTGTTCGTATGTATCTACTTTTTTTATTTTCTATTTCAAAAGAATTTTAAAGTTAAAGTATATTCGAGTTGGAACAATCAGTAATTTTTTGGAATGGATGCGAATGAATATGTTGATCGGTAATGATTGTTTCAACGTTCCGTAACAGCTCTCGTGCATTATATTATTAATGTCTCAATAATATTTATTATTATTATTTTTCTAAATTTGCTCTAACCAGCCACGTAGGAAACTTGGGTTTGCAATAGGTCAAAGACTGGGCTTTTACCAAGTCCACGTGCAAGCTCTAATTTCTTGGGCCCCGACCTCTTCCATGGAAAACCCTAGCCCTTTTTTTAGGGGTAAAATTCTTAAAAAATCCTTATATTTTCAAAAATATATACAAATAAATTTTTAATTTAAAAAACTGTGATTCAATAATATATCACTAAATAAAATATTGACCATATAAATTATTACTCTAATAAATTTTTGACGGATTTGACCACAATTTTAGACAATACGTAAATCCACATATTGACGAATAGGTGATGTCAACTGATATGTCATTTTTTAAATTAAAATTGTTGATGTGTATAAATTGATATCAACAATCCGTTAATACGTGGATTTTCGATTGTCTGATATTATAGTCAAACCGGTTAAGGTTTATTAGAGTAACAATTTACATGTTCGAGCTTTTATTCAACGATATATTACAAGTTTGGGGATTGAATGACAGTTAAAAATTTATTTGTATATATTTTTGAAAATCTAAAGTTTTTAAGGGTTGTAGTGTTGTACACTTTTTTTTATTTATCAAACAAAAAAGGAAGAAAAGAAATCAACTGCAGCTTATTTTTTTTTATATAAATTCAATGGTAGGCCTTTCACTTATTTTTTTTTTATATAAATTCATTAGAGAATATATTTTCAAGGAAATGAAATAAAAATGATGTTAAATTTTATTTTTATGATTAGAAAATATTAATTATTTTTTGTTTTAACTTGTATTACTTTTATAGATTGTGACGTGCACTTATTGGCTATTAATTTTTGTTTTGTTCATTTTAGGTCTTTTGTCATCGTTCTCATTATATTGGGTGGTTACAAGGGTGATAATTTGTGATCCAGAACCCTAACATATGATATATGCTGACAATATTTGATTTAAATCAATATCCAGGGATTTGTGCAATAGTTAAAATTGAAACTAATATACCAAGTGCAAAACCAAAACAATTTAGGAGTTGAATGAATAAAGTTATTGTTTTTTAAGAATTCAAAAACAAAAAAAAAATTGAAAATCAAGATTTTGTAAATTTAGTTTTCTTAAAAGTTTGGAAAAATACTTCAGTGAAAAAATAAACTAAACCAAAAACTCAATTTTCTTGAATTTATAAATATTATAAAAACCAAAAAACTAAAAAACAAAAGTTAAAAACTAAAACCAAAGGCTCAAAATAAAAACTGTTAATAGAATCAAAATGTAGACATACATGATCTAAGTGGAAAACATGTGATAAATCCTGTCTTTGCATGAACATTACACACATGCTTGCTATGACAGAAGCTGAAACTCAGGGACATGTGTCAGTAAAGTTCACAGGCAAAAATTCAGATGCAGCAAGAAACATGCTCCGACAGAACAGAAGCTGCTGAGTTTCAATGAGCCAAAGCAATGCCCAATCTTGTCAGCAGAGATTGGTTTTGGCCGTACAACCATGCAGCAACATTACATTGTTTATGGACAAAACATGATCAAAATGTTCCTGAGCTTCCGGAGGTTTCATTACTCGATTGTCTTTCCGCCACCCCAAGCGAGAAAGCTTTCCTGAGATCCAAATTCCTGTACAGAGAACCAAAAGTAAAAAAGTTCACTGGATGATTCGAAGAAACCCTTTATTTTCTTACACGGTTCTAACATCTAGAACAGAGAAAAGGGTATTGTCACCAGTTGGCTGAGGCGGAAATCGGGTGGGGTATCGAGCTCTATGTTAGAAGGATCAAGATCGATGTTCTGACACTCCTCAAGATCTCTTTTGAAGTCATCTGGTCCTAACTGAGCATAATCGGAGAGACGGGGTTTATTCTTCGCACCTTCATCCTCTCTCTTAGGTGATGGTTGGCTTTGCAGAAGATCATCACAAAGAGACAATGCTTCCACAAGCTGCTGTGAGTCCAGGATATACTGAGAACCGCTATCCCACCATTTCGGATATTCCTCCTCCTCACCGTCTTTATCTTTCAATTCCTTCTCATTACCATCTCCCATTTGATATTCTTGATGTTCAGGCTCAGGCTCATCCTCAGGACAGGGTTCATTATCATCTCTCATTTGATACACTCGATTTGCGGGTTCAGGCTCATCCTCAGGACCGAGTCTTTTACAATTAGGTTGAACCTCATTATCCGTGTAACCTGACTCAGCAGTCTTAGGGAAGTACATCAGAGAAAAACAACAAGATGTCAGTTGGCTATTCAGAGAGAAATGTATGAAAACTTGAGTTACTTTGCATGATTATTATGCAAAAACAGTGCAAGAAAACTTTTTTACCCGAACAAGAGGAATCGGGTGACCAGTTACAGACTTATCCACTAAGTGAACATCAGAGCAATGTCGGGGTTCAGGAGGAGTCACCGCATTTGGAGAGACAGTGTCTGCTTTTGTTGGAGTCATCGCAAAGATTTCCTTAGGTACTTCTTCTTGTTCTGCTGCTTTACCGACTTGCTGCTGCTGCTGTTGGTAGAATATCTTTGAAACGACATATTCACGTTCCTTCTCATCCTCCTCTGTCCCCAAGTGGTATTGATGCATGACCCAATTAGTTTTCCCGGATTTTCCTCCATAGAGAACCATAATTTTCTTACAGCCTCTCTGAACACCATCCAGTATCACAGGCTTAGTTCTTCCAGTCTTATGCCACCGCACATCACCAAAATCGTCATCATGAATCTTCCTCCTCTTTCGAGTTCCCGTGCTATAGGCTTTGATCGATCTATGGAAGAAGTGAGACACCGATCCATCTTGCTTGACACCTAAATGTTTAAATTGAGTGAGAATTTTTTTTGTCGTGAAAATTCCTCTATTCATCGGAATCCCTGGAGGAAAAACCGCATCACCCACCTGGTAAATTCTTAGGATGTGTGTAACAAATCCCATCGTCTTCATCAACAGTTGGAATGAACTCATCGATAAACGGATGGGAGCTTAGACCGGATAAACCAACCTTTGCTTGCAAATGCCATATGATCTCCTGATCCGATGGATCAAATTTCACACCTCTAGGCAATCCTGGCCAATCATCAACGACCTGGAAATTCATCATAAAACTTTAACGTTCAAACGCAAAGTTACAAAACTAGACAAATACCTAAGAACCTCATCCACAAGATTTCCCTTTTACTTGTACCCAATAATCCAAGTAAGAAACACCCACCTAGAGTTATAGACACAGCTAAGAAACAATAAGTTGTAACCAAAAAGGAAAGAAAGAGGCAGAGTCATACATCAGTGTTGTCTATAACGTGATCGCAGTTTGGGCAATGTCTTGAAGGATTGCTTTTCCCAGCAAAGTTTTGTGGGTTGTAAGAAGAAGATGCACTCTTTATCTTTGTTGCAATTCGGTAGCCATCCATCAACCATGATGGCCTGCATTCGACACGCATGGATCAAAGACAATTCCGGAAATTTAGACAAAAGGCCAAATTCCAGAAACATTTTTGAGCAACCCAGTTCGAGTTAGCCTTCTCAATCGCGAAAACTAAGATAATCCAACTCCATGCTTAACAAAAAAACAAAAAAGTCTTCACCTTTTGTCGGCAGTTATCGATTACATCCGTCACGAATCGTACTTATATTCAAGATTCCACTACAAGATTCTATGCCCAATTCCTAATTCAAAGCAAGATAGAAGAAAAGAAGCTTACCCCGCCATGAGGGGTCGACGAAGAAAGATCAGAGAGAAGCAGCGGAATCGGAAACCCTAGCCAACTCCCTCAACGACGGTAAGAAAGATCAAAAGTGGATCTTTTTTCAATGGGTTTTCAACCTTTTCTCGACATTCCAATGGGAGTTTAAAATTCGAAAACCGGATTGACACTGTTGCTCATGTACGGAAAACAGATTTGTAGAGGAAAAACAAAGGTTATGAACATAAATGCCTGTCTGGGAAGTGGAAGAAAAAGCAGAGTTAGAGAGAGAAACCCAAAGGCGCCAGTTTCAGTCTTTGGACTGAGAGAGCAATTCTTGGCTGACTCAGTTACATACGGCGACTTGCGTTGACTTCAATCTTAAAGTTGGTCATCGAGATCAACGGCTAAGAACGCTCCTCTGGTCCAAGATGTGTTTTTTCATATATAATTATATAAAGATGCTAAACAATAGAAAAAAATAATGATAAGATACATCAATGCTATTTAACGGCCAGGGAATGGACAATCGATGAGATGGTTAGAACTTGAAATATATATATATTTTTTTTAAAAAGCATATTAGCGTTAGTACCTCCCTCCCATGTTCCTCCAATGACAAATCTATCTGTTAAGACAACACATATACTGTATGTATATGTCCCAATGACATTAGTAATATGTTGTCTTTGTCAAACTTGACACCTGTCTCTCGACCATGTTACAAGGGGGAAAAAAAGAAACTGTTCCATGAAATTTAGGAGCGTTTACAATATACACGTATACATATATGTATAAACACGGAAGCAGAAATGGAAAACGAATCATATTTTCCATTTACGGGGAGAAGCCAAAGCGCTTGCTTCGTGACAAAAAACATTACAAACAAGCAACAATGAGAGTGAGAGTGTGTACCCTTTGGAAGGAAAAAAAACTGTTGATTTTTTTTTTACACATCAAAGACAGGCATTCGCTCCTCGATCATGACTCTGCAGATTGGGCATTTCTTGCATTTCTCGCAGCACGTGCTGAAATAGGCATCCCGAGTTTGATCAAGATTAGAAGAGGCGGTCAACAGAAATGATAGAGAGTTTATGTGTAGTTTGAATGCTAACTTAGTGTTTTACCTGCATAGGACATGATGTCTACACGGAAGTAGAACCATGTTGATGGGATCTTCAAAGCAAACTCTACACAGAATCTTCTCCTGGAAAAGGGTTTTCCCCAGAATCAGCCAGTTTCAATTGGGTATATATACACACACAAACCGAGAAGAAACCCGAGAAAAAACGTGACGAATTGAAAGTGCGGTTCTTTACGTTTTGAAGCCTTTCATACTCCTGCTGGCTATAATTGGTGATTTCTGTTTGTTCACTGAGTGCTGCCTGTAGCCTCCATATCTGGTGGGGGATCAAATGTAGAGATTTGTTAATTTCCATGTTTCACTAATACTTTTCCGGTTATACGCTGTAGTTGTTAGGTGTTCACTAGGTGGGTGGGTGCCTCAGGACATGAAAAGAGTCGGAATACTTCTGTTCTTACCTCTTCAACGAGGTCTGATTTCGGCATTTTCTTCACCACATCAGGAGAGAACGTGTTATACCTGAAAATTTTGTAAGACCAAAAGAAAATATGCCATAAGATAAAGGCATCTTATTATTACCTAACCATCGAGGTCATAGATGAGATCATATTACCCCGTAGATTGGCCAGAATAGAGTCTAGCCTGCTCCTCCCGACTTCCTTCGTCAATTGACCACCAACCCAATAGCCTGTCAAATGTAAGAAAGGGAACAGATGAATTAGGATTTGTCGATTTTCAAAAGATGGGTCAATCCATCAGGTCGCTTAGCGGCAGCTCAAGCAGAAAAGTTTGTACCTTGCGCCATGGTGAAAGAAACCTAAGAATTCACGAGCTGAGGATGTTGCAGCAAAGTATCTTCCATACGAACCATTTCCATTCTGTAACAGTAGGACTAATTTCTCAACCAATTTATATGTCGCGAATAACATCCCAGCTCCTTGAAGCAGGAAAAGAGGTATAAAAAGAATTAAATTCGGCAAGCTTCTTGCAGCAGAAGGTGTTCCCTGTCATAAGACAGAAAAAGAACCTCAGATGAAAATGACTGAAGAAAAAGCCGAGGTTTAAAAGCAGTGTATCTCTTTATTTAGAATGTACCTCTAAGCGCATGAAAAGAAGGATCTGGAAAGTAATGAACGGAATTTTCATAACGTGCCCACCGATATCTTGGAGACTGCACATTCTGTTGTTTTGCTGATTGTCTTCATCATTGTTTACAACTAGACCTCTGTTCCAGTCGAGATATCTCACAATCATTGAAGATGTGCTAGGTTCCGGTACATGTGAATACCTATGAATTGATGGATTGCTCCACTTTGTACAGACAAGAAAAGCAAATGACTCTGCTATTCTGTAGGACGAGAGAAAAAGGACCGTTCAAATGGTGAAGACAGATTTTTGGGAGGCAGATGAAAATCTCAAAGAGAGGAAACGTACCCAAAGTTTATAAATAAGTCCCACCATCCCAATGCAGCTACATCACCTACGATCAATTAGAGATATCAGAGATTCAGATAGAAAAGAAACAGAAGACCTGGAAAACATCACTTCAGTTGCTGCAAGGTTGGGAGACAAGCAACGGTGCAGTATAGGTTCTTTTCAAGCGAGATACTATAGGAATGCAACTCAAAGACAGCGATCACTATGAAACAAGAGATAAAAGAATGTGTGCACATAAAATCTATATAGATCTATCCTGTCTCTGGGCATGGCAATCTAGTAACCGGAATCACTACAGTCTATAAGCAGCCTTGAAGGTTGAAGGTGGAAATTACAGAGCATGGAATAGAACATTTACTCGGCAATCAGTAAAACGTACCACATAGCTTCAGAAGAGTGAAAGTTGTGGCAGCAATGAAGAAAACCATAGATATTGAAACCCAAAAGTGCTACAACATAAAGACAATATGTCAGAACTAATTTGCAGAAGTGAGAAAATAAGAATGAAGAACAAGCCAAACCAAAAATTCCTGTACCCAACATGAACTCCGCAAAAAAAAATTAAAAAAAATCTACAGATGATATGCCTCTTGCAAAGGACATATTCCTACGTTCTTCAACTTTGTAGTTTGAAATATGTAAAGAAATTCCGTCACGTGTATAGAATGAAAGACTTACAGGAAGCGTCTCCCATATGGCTTCATCACTCATTGTTTCCTCATCTCCAGGCATGAGTGTCCTGCACATTCTGCACAGAAAATCAACTCGTCATTGAACACAGAAATGAACAGGTAAAACATGTTATTGAACGTCACAATGAAAACCCAATTAGAATGTACAGCACTTTGAACCAATGATTAGGCAGAACGAGTAAGCATGCCCAACGGCTTTGGAGTAAGTACCTGACATTATCAATCAAAATTGCTACCTCAAATGCAAGCAAGGGAAGGAAGACAATCTTCAAGTCTACAACTGTAACAGAGGTAGGACCAGAATTGAATAAGTAATACATATAACCAAGAGATCCTGACTTATGACATGAAGAATTTGAAAACTAATAGCATCTGGACATGATTTCCAAGGAAGCTAATAGAATATACCATATTTATCTTCAAGATGAACACAAAGAAGAAGCTCAAAAGCAACAAGCAATGGCGTTGCCATGACCGCATGAAAAGGGGCCCACTGCCACAAGAACAGAGTCAACGAACATCAGGTTGTATTTTCTCAACAGATTAGTATCGTCATAACCAACTGAAGAAAGTTATAACGACAAAACAAGAAAGAATCCGAAAACAGACATACATGCCGATCATGAGGCATTGATGGAGCAGGCAGGGAAAATCTACCGCGTGCAATCACAGCATGAAATAGCCACAAGGGTGCAAATACAATCCTGCCGAAAGAAAGTATGATTGGAATCTCAAACAGAACGCAGTTGAATTGGACAATTACATCTCTGTCTTGCGCGTAAAGTCGATCAGCTTCTATTACAGATTCGTCAGACCAAACAGGGATTCAAGCTAAACTAATAGAGACCAGCCCAGTTCCGCAAACTCAAAGCCCGTTCCATCAAAACCTTAAAGTCTGACTCTTTCCCCATAATTTCTTTTGCATGACTTCAGTTTTCCCGTATTTGTACATGAAGCTGAAAAACCCATAATTCGAACCTTTGTCCAAATAAATCTAAAGCTTGTAATTCAAGATATATTCCTTATTATCAACAAACCTATGCTACAAATACAGAAATTCAACGTAGTTCCAGACTAGCTCGATTAATTCGCAGGGATTCACAATTTTCCGAGAAACCAAAAGAAGCCGTCAAAAACGGAAAAGGTAAAAAAACTGACCACCATGAATGGGTGACGACATGATCGAGCTTCAGAACGAGAAGAAGGGTGAAGGAGAAAAGCAAAACATGCGCCGCCGCAGCTTGCACCGACTTCCACACTCTCCTCCAGCTCATCACTCTTCTCTGCACCAACATTTTCGCCCTAAACGACTGTACACAAAACCCTAATCCCCGAAATCAGATCCTTATTTACAGCTTCTCAATCAAGATCCGATCATCAATTCCACGAAATTCTCTGGGGAAAACGAAGATTTTAGACGGAAATTTCAAAGGGAAAACAACATGGAAAGACGAGAAAAGGAGATAATTCTCCAAAGAAAGAGACGCTTTCGTTTTTTTTTTTGGCTGAAAGCGGAGCTTCCACGCCAAAGCAAAAGTCCAGATTTTTAATAGTATTGACCAAATTACCCTTCAGGCATTAACCATAGTTGTGGAGGGGAGGATAATTTGGTAAATGTAACAAATGGGATAAAGGTGCAGTGGCTTCTATTAGATATTTTAATATCTTTGGACTTCGGGCGAATGTAACGTTAATCAAGAATGGCATATTTGTATTATGTAATTATGGAGCAAACTAACTGAATTTAATGGAAACAAATGTCGCCACTTAATCAAGTTAATTATTTGAGTTATTAATGAAAACACTACGGATCGGATTATTTGTAATCGCCAGCCAGTATTATAACTAACAAAACATATATAAGATATTTGATAAAAAAATGAAAATAAATAAAAGGCCTATTAGCTCAGTTGGTTAGAGCGTCGCGCTAATAACGCGAAGGTCGCAGGTTCGAAACCTGCATGGGCCAACCTAATTTTTTTTGTTTCCAAAATACAACCCTAAAATCAACTAATGCAGGAATTTTTATTTATTATATCATTAGAGAAGGTGAATCAACCTGATATTCCTTCCAAGAAGTTTATACGATCGAGTTGATGCAATGCAGTGCAGAGTATATATATGAGAGTTAGATACAACAATGCAGGGAAGAAAACCCTAAGCGGATGATTAATCTAAATAAATTAATAAATTTGCGCATGAACAATTTTAGATTTTTATTTTACGTATACAGTTTTAGTTTCAATTTACACACACACACACACACACACATATATATATATATATATAGTGGGCCAGAAAGAGTATACGAGAGCTAGACGTGACATATACATAACTCGAAGGACTTTGAGTTTGAGATGGTCGTCGTCACATTGAGTGGGCAGTTAACAAACAAACAAGAAAAGATGCAGACCGTACGTACCATAAACCGGAAAAATATAATAATTGGAGCCTATAGTTTCTTCCATGCAAGCAAAGACCAACGACCTTTACGTATGTTCCTTCTCATTCAATTCAACCCACGGCCATCAACTTCGATCCTCGCAATAATTGAAAAGAACAACGGTTAAGATTAATTTCAGTCTTGTTATATGTATGATTTTCGAAAATATATTTTTGAATGGTTTTGTACGTATACAAGGTTTCTCTTCACACGAAAAGGATCCCCTCCCTCACATAATATATATATATATACACACACGTATAGACGGAAATACACAAGGCAGAAGAGTCAGAGACTCATCAGAGTACCAAACCAGAATCCCAAACTCGTCTTTTGTATTCTTCCATCTCCACCCAATTCAAATGTAACGTAATCACAACACCACACCATCATTAGTACCTTCCATTCATTTTCCTTTCCAAATACAATATATATATATATATATATATAAACCCAAAGCAAAAGCCAATACAAAACACCGTAATGGAAGAAAAAAAATATAACCCCGATCGAGTCTGGTATAAGATGTAGAACCAATCCCCGACTCATATATAAACCCTAACATTTATATAATAACGCAACTTACATTCTTAACAACACCAGTGATTAAGTGGGAAAACAAAACATGGAGTAATCAAAAGTAGCTATTACCAAAGAAACTGAAACTACCTTTGTTGTTGTTGTTGCTGCTGCGGTTCCACGATGGTAATACCGTTGTTACTACTCATCCTCTGCCTCTTTGCATTGCCCGAAGCCGACGATTCTTCCACCGAGCTCTTATCCATTACCGCCCTCAAAGCCTCTTGTATCGATCCAATACAATACATTTGTTCATCTCCAATGTTCGATTCTTCTCCGGTGACGAGCAAAACGTTCTTGACTCGGCATCCGACCGTTGTGATCTCGGCCTTGAGTGTTTTCAGACGCAATGCTTTTAGGGTTTTGATTAGGTCGGGCAAGAGATCGGACCTGTCGTCGCAACAGATGGACGCTTTTATCACGAACTTGCCGTCTTGTTGCTCTTCTACTGCTTCCTCCGAGACATCTACCGTTATCTCGTCGGTTTCTGTCGGAACAGGGTTTGTCTCTGCGATCTGCGAGGTTTGTCGTTTGAGTTCCTTTACGTGTTGTATCACCTCCGCTAAGAGCGAAGCTTTGTCCGTCTGGAAGAAAAATATTAACCATTTGTTACGTCATATACTCGTATTTATAAACTAATGAAAAAAAATGTGAAAAGAAAACTAGAGAGGAAAAAAAAATACGTGTAACATTAACCTATATATACATATATACACGCGTTTCGAAGAACATGTTGTTAAACATGATATTCATTCTGGGAAACGGTTTGACAAGACATTCTTGAGTTAAAGAAATTGTTTTTGTCGGTTTGGAAAGGTTTATAGATACATGTGAATGAGTATATATATATATATAAAGTTTTTTCATTATGATGATTAATTTTGGTCCGGCGACGGGGATTTCAAGGAAGCATTTTTCGGCTGCGTTGGTGTTTCTCTTTATCACATCATAAGCAGGCGGACATCGACGTTCCGTATTCTCAATTATATAAAAAATCTCCACTTTATCTGACTGATTTCACCTCGGAAATTTAACAAACTACTCGGAATATATATCGAACCAAAAACCCCAACTGGGTTTGGTTTTTTCCGCACAAAAGCCTCGCATGATTAGTTTCTTTATGAACAAAAAACGAAACAGACGTGATATAGTAGTTTTCGTGTCCGAAATTACTAGGTTTACACAATTCGGCTCTACGAGATCTATCCCTAGATTTACATATGCAATCTTATTTACCACTCCTCACCCGTAAAAGTTATTTAATTATCGGAACCTCATTAGGGTTATATATATCATTAGAGGAAGAGGAAGAGGAAGAGGAGTAAGAGGAACCGTCTAAATAAACTGTGAACAAAAATTAAAATAAGAAATCAAACACGAACTTACTTTGGTGGTGTTTGGTAATATGCTACGAAGCTTGGCGAGATGATTGTTGATTCTCTCTCTGCGTCGCCTCTCAGCTTCACTGTGGCTCTTCGACGCAGCCAAAGCCTTCGCGTCCATGATCTCTTGCGCCGTCATCTTCCCGAGCTCCGCTTGCAACCCGAACGGATGACCCGTCCCGGCTTGAACCACCGGACCCAAAGCCTCCGACAAGATCCGAAGATGCTCGTGCTGATGATGGTGTGCTGACGTGGCACCAAACCCCTCGTACCCAAATCTTGATCTGTTGAAGAAGTTGCCGTAGAAAGACGCCGGAGGAGACGGGAGGAGAAACGGGTCGGATTCCCGGGTAGGGTTGAAGGGTTGGATCGGAGGAGGCCAAGGGACGACCGGGGAGACATGATCTTGTGGGAAGATACTCATGAATCCGGCATTATTACTAGTTCCGAAGATGTCGGAACTGGTGGGTTGTTGTTGTTGGGAAAGGAGGAGGTTGTTTTGGTAATTTTGTATGTTGTTCATGGCTCTGGAACAATCGCCTTCTTCTTCCTTCTTTGCACACATCTCTCTCTCTCTCTCGCTATGAAAAAGTCACCATCTTTGAACTCTCCTCCCACACGCGCATTTACATATATATAGATGCATGTGTGTATGTATGTATGTATGTATGACTGTGAGTGAGTGAATGTATAAAGAGGGAGAAAATGCTTGTAAAAAAAGGTTGGTAAAGAAGGTAGGAGAAGAGGCAAAAGTTGGAGTTAAAAAGAGACAAAACCTTGCTTTCATATGTTTATACACACACACATATATGGGTTTGTATGCGTGTGTGTATTTCTGTATCTATAGCCCGTAGGATATATGGCATTGCAACTTGTGCTTATGGTGGAATTTTTGGGAGGCAAAAAAGGTAATGGGTTTGAGATTCTTTAAATTATCTCTCTT